GGAATTGGGGCTGGGTTGTGGGGGCGGGGGTGGAGCAGGCTCTGGGCTGAGTCCAGGGGTGCAGAGAAAAGTTCCCTCTGATCTTTTCCATGCATGTGGGGATTGAATTTTTTATGTGCACCCAGGCAAAATGGGCACCCCCCCAGCCAGTTTGTGACTACGCTGCTCTCCCTCCCCCACAGTAGATGGCCTACAGGTTGTGAGCTTGAGACCCCTGTCTTACAGGGAACACTGGTTCAGAGAGTGGGATGGGGTTCCAGGCTGAGTTTGGGGCAGAGGGCTGGGGTGTGGGAGGGGTTGCAAGCTCTGGGATGGTGTTTGTGTGCTAGAGGAAGCTCAGGGCTGGAGGTTTGAGTGTGGAAGGGTTGCGGGTGCTGGCTCCCAGGTGGGGGCTTAGAGTTGGGGGTGCAGTAGAGGGTTTGGGGTACAGCAGCCCTTATGTTGGGATCCTGGTCAGCAGTGCAGCAGAGCTAAGGCAGATTTCCTACCTGCCCTGGCTCTGTGCTGCCCCCGGAACTAGCTGGCACATCCCTGTTAGTGTTACCCCTTGTGGATAGGAAGAGAGGGACAGGTGGCTCTGCATGCTGCCCTTTCCTGCAGGCACTACCAATGCAGCTCCCATTGGCTGCAGTCCCTGGCAAAGAAGTGGGCACTTAAGGCTGGGGCAGAGTATGGAAATCTTGCCCCTCCCCACTCAGGGTCTGCCAGGGATGAGCCGGCCGCTTCTGGGAGCAATGTGGTTCCAGGGGGAAAGACAGGGACCCTGCCTTAGTCCCGCTGAACTTTTAGCTACCTAAAATCTGCTTTGGCTTCAGTAGCCTCTCCGGGAGATAGAATCTGATTCTGGAAGACTCCTTGTGAAACAAGAGAGACTAGCAACTTAAGCTTCAGCCTCCAATCCCAAATTCTGCTCTGCCTCCAGCATTTAGAATAGTGTTAAATATTGAAATATTTTAGAAGTGTTTTTAATTTTTAAAGGAAGGGTGACTCAGAGGCTTGCAGTGTGAAAGGATCACCAGTACAAAAGTCTTGAGAACCACTGTGTGTGGTCATTGTGCCTTGAAGAATCCACAAACACTGCTCCCGCCTCTTGTTGTTATGGTGACATTAACACAGGAACAGACGGTAGTTGATGATAAACCATACAGGGCAAAGCTTCTGCCTCCTTCATCCTCTCCCTGGTCACTGCTGCTTTCATTCTCCACTCTCTCAGACGGTAGTTGATGATAAACCATACAGGGCAAAGCTTTTGCCTCCTTCATCCTCTCCCTGATCACTGCTACTTTCATTCTCCACCCTCCCCCTCCATCCATACCTCCTTTCTCCCTTCCTCCATTGCCCTCTCCCTCCATCACAGGGAAGGTGATGATTACGGGACAAAATGATGAACAAAACATTTCACAAAATAGTATCACTTTTAATCTGAAAAGCAAATTGCATGGGGAGAAGCAGGTATGTACTGCAACGTGTGGTTATTCTCCTCAACTCTTAACGCTGATATAGCCATGCAGAAAAGACATTCATTCTGTGGCTGACAAAAGAAAAGGCTTCAGGGGGTAGTTGAGTTAGTCTATACAAGATAAACTTAAAAAACAACAAATAGTCTGGTAGCACCTTATAGACTAACAAAACATATAGATGGTATCATGAGCATTTGTGGGCACAGCCCACTTCTCCTATCAAAAGAAAAGGCATGAGTTCTAAGTAGACTCCTGAAACTAGATCATTTACCTGCTTAAACAAGGCAGAATGTCCAAGGATCTCATTTTCCAAAGATTTAGATTCATAACATTCTAGTCCGACCTATATAACATAAGCAGGATCTGAAAGAATGTGGCCATTATGGCTAGCTGGAAGTGAGGAGAGTCCCTGGGTGTGTCTATGTAAATACCACTTGCTCCTGCTTTGCTTAGATTTATTAGATACTCAGCAGATGGAGTGATATTTTGTCCATTAGTGGTATTTGCTCAACTTAATTTGTGACCCAACACCAGCTATGTTTGCAGTAAATGCAAGGATAGCTGACATATGGTTACCAACATTTGTAATTTTGTGGGAATACAGAAAAGTAGGACTGTGCTAAATTGTTCCAAATGAAGGGGCTTATAGTTAGCAGGATCTTGTTAAGCAAGGACTCAACTTTCAGAGCTCTATGAGAGAGACAGAGGTGAGGTGATTCCATTCAATTTGGACTGGTTTGACCTGTTCCTTGTCCCCCTTCCTTTGAAGAACAGAGTTAAATAGGTATCGTTAAGTGTCTCTTTCTACATGAATTGTGTTGGAGTTGTGTGTTTCTTCTACCCTGCTTGCTAAGAGTTGTAATTACTGGGAGCTGAAATCACTTGAGTCTAATGGGCAGAAGTCACAGCCAAGATGTAGAGGGCAGTAGATGTGAGAGCCAGCTGGGCAGCAGCAGATGAATGGCCTCTGCTAGCTAGGAGGTGACAGAGAGCAGCAAGCAGGCAGATGACAAGTGACCAGCGGAATCAGTAAGGGCATGTCTACAATAAGGAGTTATTTTGAAATAACAACTCCCCAAATAACCATTTCAAAATAGTGTTATTCCTCTTCACAAGCAGGAGTTATTATTTCAAAATAACAGGAGTGGTAGAGCAGATGCTCGCCTTGTTATTTCGAAACAGTGTAGACATGCCCTAAGATGCCTCTTTATCTCCCCCCAAATCAGGTTGGGAGGTGAACTCTGTGGATGCACCGCTGAACTCTGGGTCTGCTCTGACCAAGGGTAACAAGTGAGAGTGGGGTGCAGAGAAGGGTTGAACATGAGACGGGGGCATTTAGAATGTTGGACTTAAAAGACACTGCCCAACCTAGCTGGGGTGAGACATTTACTCAAGATTTATGTTTATGAATTTTCCCAAATTAAAATGCCAAGCTACTTCCCTCCCTTTTAAATAAAAGTTTCTTTGCTGCCCTCAGGCTCTGTGCGTGCAAGTGGGGAAGCATTGCCTCTCGGAGGCACTCAGGGGTGATGTGTGAATTTCCCAGGTTACTGGATGGGGGCTTGAGCCAGTTGGGATGTATTGGATGGATGGAGAGGAACCCCTAGTGTATGTCTACAATACAGAGAAGATCGAAGCTGCCACTGTTGATCTTCCAGGGTTTGTATTAGCGGGTCTAGTGAAGACACGCTAATTCAAACTGAGAGAGGCACTCTGGCTGATGCTGGTGACCTGGCAGAAGGATTAAAATAACATAGGCCTGAGAAGTTCACCCAGTTATTTCTGAATGGATATATGTAAAACTGCTTATGAAGTTCACATTGTCACCAGTGACCACTTTCCTGATTCCCTTACATTACAGTTTGTTGGTACTATGATATTGACCAGAATGGTTGGTCACACTATTTCAGAATAAAAGTAATTTAATTCCTAAATAGTTACTCCACCTTGGAAGCACATTTCAGAGTAAAGTGGCTTTTATTCTGAAACAGAATGTCCAGATGGGGAGCTCTTCTGAAATAGTTATTCTGGTCAATTTCTTTATGTAAACAAGCTTTTTCTAAGGGAGCAAGGTCCATGCTGTTTTGAAGTAACATTTTGCAACAGGCCCTTTTTTGCTGACATTCCACAACTAAAAGAACATTTATTCTTTCATTTTTTATTTAAAACGCTATTTTATTTTGAATACTAAAAAGTTCCGTTTTCCTTTGGGTTTGGGGATATTTTGTTCCCCCTTTGGTGACTTTCTCCTCCTTGTTATTTCAAAGGAAGAAGCAAAAAATGTTGAAAACTTCTTGCAACTTAAAGGAGTTAAAACACTGAAAAGCTCTTTCCCACTTTTTAGCTTTTGTGAACTGAAAAAATGTGAAACAGTAAAAAAAAAAACATAGTCATTAAAAGTGCTACTTTCACTATTTGTACTTTCCCTTACAACTGAAAAAAGTATGAAAAGATGCTTCCTTATTTTATTTTTACTTTTCTCAACCGGTTTCCTCTTTTTCTTTAGCGAGAAGGAATAACCAACCCAATTTCTTTAGTTTTCAAAAGCTGCAATGAAAGTATTTACATTGAAATGCATTGAACATTTTTATTGCAAATCTACTTTTTGAAATGCAGTAATAAATCTCTGCAGAAAATGGGAATGGCAAGGCTGCATGCTGATGGATGCTTAGATAGACAAAGTATTTCACAGCCTGCCAGTGGTTTACCCAGGTGGGCCCATGACCCAACTTTGAAAACCTCTGCTCTAGCAAACACTGCACAAATCAAAGATGTAAGCTTGGTTTGGAATGGACAGATAGGGATGTAGGGAGACATAACATTCTGTGGGAAGATTTGCTTTAATAATATTGTAAACTCAGATTAACACAGCCAAAAAAAAAAATCATATTACATGCTGCTCTGTATGTTCCAGCATGTAACGGATGTGTTTATATCTGGCCACAGAATCTGTTACCTTCCACCCACAGCTCACTGTTTACTGCAATCCTTTACTGTAACACAAATTTTAAAAAATATAAACTGTCTGCCTTGGTGTGATTAAGTTGGGGCAGAGAAGGAATCAGGTGCAAAGACAGAAAAGGGATGGATCAACTTCTACACTATAATTGTGTTGACTCCTACTGCTTTCCCCATCCCCGTCTTGTATATCTGTGCAAGTCACAGATGAGAGAGTATGGGGAATTGGGAGAGAGGTGTAAGCAAGACAGAAGGAGCAGCTTTGAAGTTTTCTGTCTTGGGCTCCAGTTGCAGAGAGTTCCAAAGACTATAGGAGGGTTTAAGGCGAGAGGGGGACTTGGGTTCAGTCTCATTCCTTCGCCTCCCCTGTTACTGAATGGTGAGTTTGAGGGGCCAAGGAAGGTGTGTGGGTCAGTGTTTATTTTCACCTTCTCCAGAGAGGCTAGAGACTTTGGGGATCAGAGGAGGGGAAGTGGAGACTTTGAGGGGCAGCATTAACTCCTGTCTCCTAGTTCCAGGAGCAGGAAATGGGGGGGAGGTTCAGGGCTCAGAGTCCACGATGGGATTCTGTAAGGTAGATCCTGAGAGAGGTCATAGATTGCATGTTACAGACAGAGTGTTTGCAAGAGAAGTCAGGGGACAGTTTGGCTGTGTCTAGACTACATGCCTCTGTCGGCAGAGGCATGTAGATTAGACAGATCAGCAAAGGCAAATGAAGCCGTGATTTAAATGATCGCGGCTTCATTTACATTTACATGGCTGCCGCGCTGAGCCGACAAACAGCTGATCAGCCATAGATTGCATGTTACAGACAGAGTGTTTGCAAGAGAAGTCAGGGGACAGTTTGGCTGTGTCTAGACTACATGCCTCTGTCGGCAGAGGCATGTAGATTAGACAGATCAGCAAAGGCAAATGAAGCCGTGATTTAAATGATCGCGGCTTCATTTACATTTACATGGCTGCCGCGCTGAGCCGACAAACAGCTGATCAGCTGTTTGTCGGCTCGCGCGCTAGTCTGGACGTTCCCCCTGT